TGGGAGACATGGGCGGACTTGGTGCACCCTGACGCCCAGGACATCTTGGACACGCTGGAGGACAACAGAGAATGGTACCAGAGCATGATCCCCCGTAGCCCGTCACCCACGAGCCCTGAGGAGCACCATGCTGAGGTGGGACCAGGAGGAGAAGCTGTGGGAGCAGGAGGGGCTGTCCCTTCGGGAGGAGGGGGAGGAGGAGGAGACAAGTTCCAGTTTGAACTCACTCTGGAGGAAGAAGAGGAAGATGAGGAAGAGGTGGACTCTGACCTGGAAAGCCCCCTAGAGGAGGAGTCCCAGTCGGGTGGGGAGCGGCACCAGGATTCCTCCTCCCCCTCTTTGTCCCCAGATCCCCGGAGCAGCAGCAGGTACCGTCCTCCCTCACCTCACCCATCTCGGACCCTGAATCTGGCTGCCATGTCGGTGCGGAGCCCTCTCCCCTACAGGACGCTGGCCTCCCCGGGACGGGAGGGCACCGTCACGGACAGAGAATTGGGACCGGAGGGTGCCGACAGGGACAGAGAACTGAGCCAGGAGGGCGACGGGGTGGCCTGTCTGCGTATGGGCACGTAACAACCAGCACAACCTGCCCCGCCTGAAAGACATGAGAGCTGGATATGGTTAGACGGAGGCAGGGTAGGCCTTCACCAATAATGTCTGTAAAATCACTAAAGTCCCTTTACACTGGACGCACCCTCTCTGGAGAACAGAGGGATGCCCCCCCTCTGTTTTATTTTTTATTTTACCAAGAAGAATAGTTTTAGCCTCTCTTTGGGTGCCTGATTGGCCTTTTGTGTCCCGTCCTGCTTTGTTGTAGCTTCAGTTCGGAGCGTCCCAGACAAAGACTGCTGCATTTTAACTGGGAAGAAGAGTTGAGGCAAGGGGGCGATACTCTAACAAGAAGAACAAAATGTAAAGGAAAATGTCTTCCTTCAAAATAACTGTTTGTGACATTGAGACGCGCAGCGATCCTCATCCACAGGATCGCTGTGGTTTGACAGGGTTTTGGAATTTATTTTGCACCATAGTTTTAATTTAGGAAATGAAATTACCGAGTCTGGTTGGAATAAGTGAGTATGATTTCTTTAAGAATGAAGTGAGAGATGAATCATTTTACCAAATACAGGATGTAGGTGAGTTGTGAGAAAACAGTGGACCTAAACCTCAGGGGATGAAGAGAAACATAAATCTAATGTAGCACAGATGTAGTGGGTAACCTTGACCTGAACCCTGACCCCAAACAGTCTTTTCCTGTTTGATTTACCTCCAAAACAGAGACAAGTGAGACTTTGTTTAACCTGTGCATCTCTACATGTAATTAAAACCCTTTAATAGAAGATCTGGCAACTGAAGCAATCCAATAATATATATTTAAACCAGCTTGTAGCACCGCAGAGCTTGAACACTGAAGAAGACTGTACCCCAGTCTCACCCGTTGAAAATACAAAAGACACCACCTGTATAATTAGTTTATTTTTTTACCTGAGATGATTTTGAATGGTGTTTAGGTTGTGATTTTTTGAACAGTTTGATGTACATTTGCTAGTCTTGTCTGTGTTTATGTGCTTGAAAAGCATTGTTTATCAGGGTGCCTCCAGTCCGCAGTAGCACTTTACCGTCTCTGTCATTCAGCTCTACTATTCAGTCACACAAAGGGCTTCACCCACTGTAGGCCTACTGATCACACAAACAGATCACAGGACATCTGACTCAAGGAACCGGAAGGCAGGACCGGAAACTAATTTCAAAAAATAACTTCAAAGGATTTGACAGAAATTCACAGATAAAATAGGAATTATAAGACTCCCTCTATTTTTGAGCTGCTTCCGTTACTGAGGTCCAGATAACCTTGCAGTATTTACAAAGTTTTTATTGTTAACCACTTTTAAAAAACAATGAGTTTGTGGGCACAAGCAAGATCTAGAAAATTATCTTTATCTGTCTTTTATTCTCCATTTTTTGTTAGAGAACTGATACTGTGAATGGATAAAGTGGTCCTAGTTATGATTTGCTAAGCCTCACCTTCAAATTAATATGATGTGGTCAAAATATGTTAGCACAGAAGCTGTACTGTTAGTTAGTATTCTAGCTAACAGTTCATCTCAAAGCTTACGTTGAATACCACAGCTCTCTGATTCTGTTATGTTGGGCAAAAGCATGCTTTAACCTTTAAGGATGTGGTTGGTATATGTATTTACCTGATGGGATGTATTTGTCTCGTTATCAAATCCCATGAAAAGACCGAAACCAATAATGTGTTAGTTCCTTTCTCAATGCTCCCCGACTTCCCTACCCTGTCTGTGGCTCTCCGCCCCAAGAATATTTGTTCCTACCCAGGACATAAATCTTTATTTTATTTATTCTATTTTTTTTAAAAGGCTTTCTTTAAGGAGCTGGGCAGCGTACTTCTTAACAAACGAGACTCCAACAGAAGTAAATATTTGTTTAATTATTTATAGCAGCAGGAAAGTGGATAGTATATATGTGATTGATCCAAAATAAACAACAGTGGCTGTGTTCATTGTGAAGGAGCACGTCTCCCTGTGCAACATTGATGTGTTTTTAGTAGTTTATGGATGATGACACAGAGGTATAAGCTGCTACACAAATATTTACTCATTAGGATCAGTTCATTGTGGGTTTTGGTCTTTTTTTCATGGGCTTTGTTGACAGTTAAAATACATTTCCACATTCATCCTTTAATTTAGACCTGTCATGATTTCCTCACCTACATTCAATTTATTTATGGCCAAAGACTGACAGGAGCGCAGATGCTTTTAGCAACACTGTTAAGCTGATGTCAGAGCAGTTTATTGGCTGTTTATTTCCTTTCTCAAACCTCAAGTGAATCTGAGCCTGATTGTTCCTTTCCTCAATTTTTGTTATTTTAAATATAGTGGGGGAGGGGGTTCCCATCAAATCAGGAAGAATCTTATTATTCCAAATAAATCACCTTGGTGTTACTTTCCCGCCCTGCCGACAGGTTCTGATGTAGAGATCACAAGAAGCACAGTTTCAAGTAGCCGACAGACATTAATCGCCTGTAGTTCAAACTGAACAGATTGTGCTCCATCAGGTTGTCAGTCTTATTTGGTAGATATAGTGCTTGACTGGGATAACTGTGTGCCATAAGTGTTGAAAACACACAAACACCTGCCAGCCTACGATGCTGTACATTTTTACACTAGAGATTTTAACCTGATGATTGTATCGAAGTCATTGACTTTATAGTGTTAGTTTTTATGAATGATACATGTTAACAGTATTTAAAGCAGACAATTTATTAGATTTTGTGCAGCTTACGGTTGGCCTGTTCAGCCCTTTCCTAATCAGATAGCTGAGACTTGAGAATGTGTGTAATTTCAGGAGTCTTTCTGTACCAAGTACGATTTCAGTCTAGAGCAGTGTTTGTCGCAGTCACTGAGGTAGAAAGACCAGGAAGCAAACAAGCACTACAACAACATACGATGCACTTCCTGGTCAGGCAGTAGTTGAAAACACTAGTCTAACAGTATTTCATTAACTCAGCTAGTAAGCTTTATTGGTCAGCCTTACATGTGATAGGGGTGTTTGGATCCTGTTGTTAAAGGACCATTATGCTGTTTTTTAACCTGCCGAGCATCAGAACATTGTTGGATCTACACACAGAATCAGGATAAGAAAACTTTTCATTTTCTAGTGACAGCAGCAATATACACATACTCTTAGTGTATTTGCTGTCATTTTAACAAAAGAAATATTAATTGCTGTGAAAACAAATTATGAAATTTAGTAGACGTTCTTTTTTTTCTCCTCCACTATATTTAGCTTAAAGTGTCAAAACTCCACAATACAAATGCCATGTAAACCTAATCAGCTGCAGAGTAGTTAAATAACATTTTATTTAACTACTCTGCAGCTGATTAGGTTTACATGGCATTGGTTATGCCCAGACTTTACCGCTAGCGCCATCAACAGGCCAAAGTTTATACTTGCACACAAATGGATCTAGGGGGCAGACTGTCTGCTTTCATGGCAAACGCTTTATATTTTCTGAGCCTCTTGGCCTTTATTTTAGCATCACCCCCAAATGATAAATCTTTTTTTTCCCCCCCACTAAACTACTGGTAAAGCTCTCAAAACAGCGAAACCGTCATTTTTATTTTACATGAAACACCTTCATATTGTTTTGTGAATCTAACATTCACAGCAGTGATCCAGTCTGTAAACACTGTCTGGTAGCTGTCGGTAGCTCTCCTGCAGTACAGGAAGTGATGAGTTTTTACATTTACAGAGAAGCCCTGTGTAGTTTGCAAAAGCAGTGTGCAAACTACACAGGGCACAAAGTACAAATTGATCATTTTAAGCTTTTACAAAATACCTCAATTTTGAAGCAAGGAAACACACCGCTTCCCTTGTTCAGCATGGCATTTTCATTGATTACTGTGGAATTGAAACTTAAATCAATTTCAGATGCCAACAGTTTTCAGTCAGCTGAATGAACAGGTGGTTACATCGGCATGTTAAAACTCAGTGCTGTGGCCCTTTACAGGAAGGCATCAGTGCCATAAAGTGTTAAATGTACTGATGAGCAGGAGATCCTGCTCTTGCTCCGTTGTTGTGTTGCGCTGATACTGCCACCGTTGATGTTCATGCAGTCTCGTTTTCCTCCGCCTGTGTCGTGCAAACTTCTATTAAAGATATTTATTCTTCAAAATGTGTCTGTCGAGACAAAGTACTGTAACTTAGGACATTTCATTTTTTGTTCTGGAGCCTAAATCTTCAAGTATACTTTACAAGTATGTATACCATCTGCCACTCCAATGTTGTTAAAGAAGAGAACTATATTTTTGTTTCTCATTTTAAGCCAAAAGAGTCTCGGGAGTTCAGGGTGTTTTAATCGGAAAATGCCAATAAATTATATGGAAATTTATCAAACTGGCTGTTGGTTATTTGTTCATTAGAGTGACCCTTTAAAATCACAGGTTTTTCCCCCCCAAATAGAAAAGTCACTCAAGAGCTGTGTATAACTATATGGATTTATTTCAATTTCATATCTGATCCCATCAGAGTACAAGAGGCACATAAAAATTCACTGATTTCACATCCACATTGTTAACTACTAAAAGCTAAATATGTTAGAATGGGTTTGATTTGGTACTTCATGCATGTTATTTGCCGTTTTCCTGCAGGTAGCACACAGTTTAAAGTTGCTCAGCAGACGCTTCTACTCAGTTTGACCGGGGCTCCAGTGCAGGCTGGTGGCTTCACCCCCTGAAGAAAAAGTCAGTCACAGAAATGTCATTCATAGTAGGAGCAGAATCACTTCACAGATATAGATATTGCTGATTGAAACAAGACACGTCTGCATTTTAGTACTTACTACACAGTAAGGAACAAATGCAAACCTCTAAAAACCTTTTAAGTATTATGTTGAGTGCCTGTCATAATTTCCTCTCTGGTTTCTATTGAACTATTACCTGCCCAGGTTCCAAACATGTATTTCTACCTGTACTGATACCTCAATAGTCCTCACCTTGTAGAGTTGGCAGACCAAATGGAAAAGGGACGACATCGCTTTGTCCTCATTCTCTTCTGTGTATTCCTAAATACAGTTTTAGTCAGTTTTTAAACAGAACATGTTTGTTGTACAGAGTTATTTCAAACAAACTTCAATCTGCTGTTTAAATGTACAAACAATTCCACTGTAAAGAGATAAGTAATTCCACTGACGGTTTCTAAACATTTTGTTAAAAATCTTTACAAAGTTTCCTCTTACAATTAGTTCTACTCTTATGGAGTCAATGCAATTGGACAATGGTGGGATGTAACCAAGTACATTTATTCAAGTATTGTACATACCACTTTTCAAGTTCACTACATGTCAGAGCGAAATATTGTACTTTACTAAAAAAAAAACAAAAAAAACTAGACAATTTGAAACAAAAATCGGCAACTATTTTAAAATAGTAGTAGATAATGGTCTTTCAATTTTTTTATTTTTTAAAGCAAAAAACATGTCTAGTTCGGGCCTCTGAAATGTGAGGATTTACTGGGGGTTTTTTTAAGTTAGGTTTGGGCAGTTTCTGAATTGGTACATGCCAATCAATTACGAATTATACAGCAGATTAATCCATAAATGAAAGAAATTACAAAAAAAGTAAAGTAGTCGACCTACCTCAACCAACTACAACTACTAGTAAAATCATTTTACATAATCCAGGAATAATAAAATCATGTAACAATCAGTCACAGGGGACACTTTTTGCATTAAGTACTTTTACTATTTTATGTACATTTTGCTGATTATACTACTTTTACTAATGCAGGACTTTCATTTGTAACAGTATATTTACAGTGTGGCATTAGTACTTGACTTAAGATGCGTCTTAAGTAGGACATTAAAAATTGTCATACTTGTAATTCTGCCTTTTTAGGCAAGCAGAAAACGTTTTATTACTTTATATCCATCCATCATAGCTCGTCTAGCGTGCAATCAGTGTTTTACCCCGTTGAAGGTGACCCAGGGGACGTGTGTGTGGACGGGGCTCAGAGCTCTGGTCATGACAGCGTTGGTGTGCATCAGCTGGTATCCCAGATCTCCTTTCACACAGGAGTCAACACTCATCCAGGAGACAGACGGAGCGTACAGCTGGAGACACTGAGAAAGGACAGAGCATCAGCAACACGACACACCTTGTATGTCACAGCAAGTCTTTGGGGATTTTAGCTGTTTTTAAAGCTGGAAACACTGCAGGCTTTGTTCATTTTTTTTAACGCTTTTGTATACCTCAGATGTTTGTGTTGATGCTTTAAGTTTTACACTGTCGTTGCAAAGAAACATTTCTGTATGAATTTTGACAAAGTTTTTCTGTAGGTATTCTTTGTGGTATTTTAGGGTTTGTCATTTCTTGTATAAAAACCAATGCTGGTAGGGAGCAGCGCCGGAATGGGCACCGGAGCTGGGCAAGCGAGGGAGTGTAACGCACATTCAGCGCTACCGTTTACTGTAACCACCAATTAATAGCCACAATAAGCCCCTCCCTACCTTTGTGCGTTTTTACAGGAAACAAGAAAATAGCACTCTGCTTTCCATTTAATGGAAACTTCAACACTACAAAATTGTAGATGTATCGCCAATTTAAAATTTATTTTTTAAACACTTTTCTTTACCCATCTGACCACCAGTGCTGCTCCCTTTATTGGACTGCATCTCAAAATCTCAATTAAGCTTGTGAGTAAAATGTCTTAAAAACCGGAAGTTAAATTCAGGTACAGCAGATACTCACAGGCTGGGCTGCGCTGAGAACATCTGCAGCAGACTCCATGCAGTAGACGATCTGAAATGCTGAGTGTCCCGTTAAATGGATGATACAGGCCTGAGGAACAGAAATCAAAAGTCATGTTTTTGTATTAAACATACATGACAGCAGCAGTACAGGTGATGAAACGTGCAAACCTCAATCATGTTTCCTCGGCATTCAGGTTCTCCATGCTGACAGATGAAGGAAGAGTTTGCTGATGGAAGCTCCTACAAGAGAAGGATATTTATATTTTTGTAATACTACAAAATTCCCATAACACACACTTGAAATCTTCTCTCCACTTTCAGAGACTCTCTGCATTAAAAGAGGAGGAGGATGATCAGTCTACCTTAGCATTCCCGTAGGGTACCAGAGTGACTGTCATGATGTCCTGCAGCATGGTCCAGGTGGGGAAGAACTGCTGGGTGATGAAGACTCTGCAGTCTGGACACAGACTCTCATAGTACAGAATGACAGATACTGGAGGAACAGCCCAGTTTGGTCTGGTAGCATTCACCTCCATACACTGCTTCTGAACCTACATGAGAAACGAATACAGAGCAAACTACTTAAATTTGTTTGGGGAGGGCTTGAATGTAATGGACATTCATTTGTATGCAACAGTTCCACACTCCAGCTTTAAATGAGTACAAAAGTATTAGCAGCAAGACATTCTTAAAAGTACAAAAGGAAAAGTATTAATTATGCAGAATGGCTCATTTCAAGAGATTGTATGTTATCTTTTTGGATTATAATCACTGATACATTTATGTATACTATAGGGACAAAGTACTGGAACACCACATGCCTAAAACGTTTGGTAGGTGGTAATTACTTCAAACTTGTACAGTACTTGAGTAAATGTACATGCCACCACTGGTATTTACCCTGACAGTTTATTTGTTAATAATTTGTGAAATCATTATGTTAAACAACAACTAATCTTGACAATGAACAGGAGGGCATGATTTTTATCCAAATGCTGATGTAAGAAAAAGTGGAGCAAATCCCTTATTGTTTTTTTAAAATGCAAGAATATAATAACAGCTTTGTTTTAAAAGACTGTTTTTATTCACTGAAAACAGCTTCTCTGCTTGCTTTTCTTGCTTTCATTTCATTGTAAATTGAGCTTTGTGGGTGTTAAACAGGCACCTCTGAAGACGTCACTGTAGGTTCTGGTGTACACATTTTAGTGAAAATGTAAATCATGAGTTGCAGCATTACACCTAATCAAACAATGACAGCTTGGCTATGTAGTCTGTAGCTCAATGTTCAAAGTTAAACCCACTGTACCATTTATTTTTCTGGCCTTCTCTCTTTATGCTGATTTAGTGTTTGTGTGATTTGACCCAAAGCTGCTCCCCTGGTCACATGAGGGACCACTGGTGTTCAATTTCTGAAGCATGACTTTCATTTAGAGCCAGATGGGGGAAACTTTAAACTCCACTGAACTCCATTTAGTTTGGGTGGGACAACAATGATCAAAGTATTTATTTTAAATTATCAGTGTTTCCTTCATACAGGTTATAAATTCTCACTAGAATAAAACCTAAAAAGGCCTATGATATGGCCAAAAATAAAAGCAGGCCAATAAGGAGAAAAATAGAAAAATGTATCTCTTAGCGTGTGGCTGCCATTTCCTCTTTTGCGGCATAATAATCCTACAGCATGAAACACGTCTACCATATTGACCTAATTTTAAGCAATAAAAGGGTGAAAAACATCCCACTAAGAAGTCATTTAACAAAAGATAAGCTTTCCATAGCTTGTATTGAATTTATTTTGCTTCTACATAAACACATATCTACTAAGGAAACTAATACTTTAACTGTATTGTGGGCTTAATCAGCTTTGTTTCAGGCCACTATCGACTTGAATAATGAAGAATTTTCTACTGTGATCCCATATGTTAAATGACTAACATGGAAATAGCACTGCACTGACCCGTAAATAGATACCAGTGTGTTTATTTTACTCACCTTGCACTCTATTGCTATCTCCAGGGACCGACACCACTGAGATGGAGGGTAACGGCAGGACGGTTTGGGGTGAGACTTCGCGGAGCTTCTCCGATCAGCACAGAGGAGTACAAACACAACCAACAGTCCTGACAGCTTCATGTTTCAATATCAGGAGAAAAACCCACAGTCACTGAGATGAGAAGACTGAAGCTGCTCCTCCTAAAAGCCGCGTCATCAGCTGATTAACGCCAGGTGTGATTGACTGCGGCTGCATTCAGGGATCCTCGGAGACTCCTGCTTCTAGCTCCGTGAACAGGAGGAAACAATAATGAAATATCTGTCTGGATTAATTTGAGCAGTTTAATCGTAGAGGGAGTGGAATTTTAGTATTAGTGATAAATATACGTGCGAAAAGAAAAAAAAAACAAAACAAGATTAACAAATGTTATAGTGAGAAAGCCTGGGGTACCGGGTATTATGGCGATTGGCCTTTCTCTAGTGGTACCACTGGAGCAGTCCAGCATCACCCCTCATTTCTAATAAAAACCAAAGCATTATGGGAACTGTTATTGAATGAGAACAAGAAAAAAAAGTTTTTTTCTTTGTTAAAATGATGTGCTCATTTTTTGAAAAGTAGAACAAAAGATACCCATTTATCTAAGAATATGGACAAAACCCAAGGAATATATTTCAGTTTATCATATAAAAAAATTATGAAAGCAACCATTTGTGAGAAAACCTTTGAGCAGCCAATTAAGCTTTGGCTGTGACCAGTGAATATATGATGCGCCATCTGGGATTTTGTATTCAGAAAGGTACTTTAGATCAGAAAATCGGGATTTTGTTACTTTTGAAACTGTTTATGAGAGGCTCACCTGCCTGCGACTTATTGTCATTTTCAGTGTTTCCCTAACGTTTTAAACACGAAGATGTGTAATGATGCCTCGCTAGGAAATCCACCTGGAACTGCAACCTAACGTTAATTTAACGTTCCTCTGCCAGAACTAGACTTGAAAATGTCTGTAAATAACTTGTTTTTCGGTGAAAACACTGGGACAGGAATGACATCTGAAGCCCGTTCGTCAGCGGCTGTATACTGTAGGGGATAACATTTGCTCGGTTGCAGATATATTAACTTTACCGCTAACAATGGCCGCTACCACGGGCCGATTAAAGGGTTTCCTCTGCGATGTTGGTGGACTCATCAGGGCCGTGACAAGAAGCAGGAGCTTGCTAACCAAAATGGCGGGATTGAAGCTACAGTTAAAAGGCGAATGACACTGCATTTTCAACTGGCTATCTGCACAACTTCATGTCCAGGGAGCACTTTTATATCCAGAAATAGCTGTTCTCAAGGTAAGACTCATCCTGACAACATGCTACTTATAATTTATCTTACTTTCATCTCTTCCACACTGTTTATACCCACATGGTTACACCTTTTGTATTCTGGTGCTCAGTGGTTAGTAGTCTGTAATTGCTTTTAGACAGTTTTTAGGGTTTATAAGATGCTGTGAGTGGAGCAGCAGCTGATGCAGCCTTGAGGGGGGCTACTGGCTTTAACTGTACAATGTTGTGGCTGTTTTTCTACGACTGCTCCTCTCTTTTCCACCTTTGTTTGCAAACCAATAACGTTAAATCACAATCAGCAGCCACACAAGTCTCGCCAATGTCCACTTGAGATTGTTTGTTGACATTCAGTATATTGGAAATAGCAGCCAGAGTGCAGCGGTGTGTTTATGCTAAATACTGGATCCTAAGTTGTCTAAGTTTTGATCAGTCAGGAGGTTTATACACAGAGCTGAAGTCGGTCTCCTCCTCTCCAAAACACCTGAGATCTATATCGCCATTAAATTTATAGCTGGGAAATACCCAGCTGCAGCGGTGTGTTTACAGTGAACAGCTGATGGAGTTATGCTAAATACTGGGTCCGAAGTTGTTGTTGTTTTAAGTTTTCATCTGCCAGGAAGTTTCTACATGGAGCCGAAATCGGTCTCCTCCCAAAACGAGCAGAACAGCTGATTACAGCAGGTAATTAAAGCTCGTTAAACATCCTGTTTTTCCAACTCAGGCAGACACAGACGTGAGTGCTGCAGCTGATCTACAGCTTTTGTTGGCTGCAAATGTTTTAATAACCTTCCAAACTGTTGCGATTTTATTTTTGTGTTGCTTTCTCTGTGCTGCAGTTATTTTAAGAACGTTATGGCGTTATCCAGTTTGTTTAGCTACTATTAAATGTATAACGAACTTTATCATGTGTCTCTTTATTATAGCTCCCACACAAAAAAGCTGCTTTAATGGTCAAGCAAAGCCTATAGTTTTTCATTATATTCCAGTCAAATCTGATGTTCATTTATAAATGTTGCTCATGGATAGTGGTTACAAATAATGATGCCTGTGCATCGCTTTGTATGGCTACAGCCTACTTCAGTGGGTTAATTTGCCTAATCTTTGCAGGTCTTTAGACCAGGGGGGAAACGCACTCAACAGTGGGCTGAAGGAACCTATTTAGTTCCTTGAAAAGAGATCTGGGGACTTAAAAGTCCCGGGATGGTGAAAAGCGGCTTTAGTTGCAGTCCTACTGTGGAGTAAACTACAGGATTTTTATTTCTACCGAACACTATAAATCTATGGCGTAAATACACTTTCGACCCATTACATTATGCAGTTGATGTTTACGCCTAGGGTGTAAACCACGTTGTTTAATGGTACAAACAGTAAACACATGGTGTGGGTATGCAAGATCATCAAGCACGTCTTTGACTTATGACTGCAAAGAGAAATGCATTTAAGGTGGCCCATTTAACAGGCTACTGTATTTTTCCCTATAAAACACAAGCGCCACCTCATCTCCACTCAAAAAGTTCACTATCAAAGGAATCTCTGTTACCTCTCCAGTCATATCACATTTTATGGTAATATAGACCTACTTTAATTTGGTCTACCATAGCTGGAATCATATATTTGGCTATTGGATACTGTGTGCCTAATAATGTGCCTGCAAAATTCAAGTCATTATAATCATTTCACAACTGTTCGGTCAAACATAGATTGTTAAAGTAACACTAGTTTTTTATACGCTTTATACATTTTGAGCCTCCCTCTCTTTCTAGTCTACAGCTGAACACTTAAGGTTATGGCTGAAATTTAACAATTAATTAAGTCTTTGATTTTCTAATTATTTTGTAGTATTTCATCTTCACCTACATTTTAAATATATGGTATATAGACCTATGTCATCTAGCCTGTGCAGCTTCTCATACCAAGGGTGATGTGAGTTCAATGTGGTACCTGCCAGGGGAATAAGGTCTATTTGACACACGCTTTTACAAAATAATACAATTTTTGTTTAACCATGTAAGTCTCATTGAAGTTGAAAACTTCTTTTGCAATGGTGACTTAGAGTATAACTTCTAATATACTAAATCTGTGTGCTGTTAGATGCTTGTAAAGCCACAGTATGTGGTATCAGTACATGGTGTTTTCAGTCTTTGTGGTGTAGAATCTAGCAGTTTTGCTAGGCATATTATGTAAATAGTAAAAGGTGTTTGTGATGTATACTTGTTTATACTATCCCCTATATAATCCTGGTTAATCCAGGTCGGTATAGTTTGATCACCACCTCTAGTTAAGTAAAGTAGTTGAAATCCTCAGGTTATCAAATGAACTACTATAACAATTCATTAAACCGTAATCTCAAATTTATTTGGGGATCTGAAAGTGCATACCGGTACATTAACAATGATGTTCTGAAGTGGGTAAAGTCAGGTTTTACACCAACAAAAAACATTTGAAACCATCAATTTTCCTCAGATTTGACTCCTAAAAGAAACACAAGCTATTTCAAAAAAGCTGAATGGTATTGCATAATCAATACACTTACAATAAACACATTTACAATAACAGTATTTTCTCACAGCGTTAGGCTATTAACAAAGGGCAGCTAGATGTTTTAGATTACGAACAGCCACAATGGAGAGAAAAAAAAGTCACAGTTACAGAAACATAATTTTAACAAACCTGACTACATTGAATGCGATGCAGAGACAAGTATAGAGGTATTTGATCATATGCACAGCTCAAAGTGAAACAAAACCTTTTCTAAATATCAAGTCACTGGATTTTAAACATTTTAAAATGTTCTTGCCATGATCTTCCCATCTAACTCTGAGTGAGATGGAAAACAGACCGGCCTCCGAAAGTGTTGTGTTTTGTTTAACAAATGTTACGACTACATCCCATCGTGTTTATGGCATGGTAGACCGTAGACGGAGCTGGACAGCCGAGCACTGTGTGAATGCATAATTTATTAACCAACCTTCCTCCTCTTAACCTTACCCAAACCTTTAATAAAGATAACCAATCCTATACTTACTTAACTTGATCTGTCTCCAACTTAATACCAAACCCACCTAGCCTATAGGCCTCACTCTACTGTACCTACATAACCAGTTCCTTCACTTAACCATATCTTATCTTGTACCTAAACATTTCTTTATAATAACCCATTCACAAAACTGAACAAATCTTGACCCAATTCTGTAAAAGACTCAAAATCGTATTCACTGCAAACTGTTTTAATTTAACAAATTATTCCTACAATATCCGTGCTGGGCAATTACAATATGATTACGGTTAGACAAGTAAAACGTTACATTTGGGGAAAGATTGTCATCATGGTTAAATATACAAAAAATCAACGATGGGTCAAGACAGTTAGCAATCCCTGGTCCCCAATATCAAAACCATCCTGTCATATGCCAGTCCACAATCCTAGCTTTGACATCCATAACCTCTGATTCTCCACCTTAGTACCTTAATACCACTAACAGCATCTCCATTTCATTATACCACAGAACTTGACAATGTTATCTTCTTCTCTAAAACACATGTACCGTTGCTGTCATTCCTGCATTTCACAATATCAAGCTCTTTAATTAAAGGTGGGGTATGCGATTCTAAACCATTTTTGTCAGATTCACCGAATAGCTCCTCATGGTCCACTAGCTGTCCTATCTGTGTGTGTGCGCTGTTAAAAAAAAATCGTGGCGTTTGTACTCAGTGCTGGCTCTGTAAATGGGAAACAAACAAAATGTCTTGGACTGAGCCACACAACACTATTTCAGCCATGATTTGTGTGTGAGGTACCATTAAATTACTTGCCCATTTGACAGCTAACTTTCTAGTTCACCAATATAAGCTGTTGTTGTTATTATTATTAGCTCTAGCAGCAAGAAAGTTGTGAGTATCGCTGTCTGGAGCTAGTGTGCTGGTTCTGGGAAACCGTCTCGTCCTCTCTGCATGTTAGCTTCAAAGCAGCAACTGTAGCGAGAGTTTGCTAATGCACAACCTAACATCAGTACATCTAATGGTACAGTTCACTAGGGCTGCAACGATTAGTCGACGTAATCGACAACATCGACAAGAAAAATTTATCAACGTGAAATTTCATTGTCGATGCATTTATACAGAGAAGCTGTTTAAGGGAGAGATGGAAATCTTCTTATTAAGAACATTTCTCGTTTATTTCTAACTGCAATGCACTAAAAGAAGTGCTGGGGGCAGTACCGCTTCCACTGTCATGACTGCTAGACTGTAAGACAACTCACGAAGATGAGGCATTCATGCAAGAAGCGGAAAGTAACGGAGAAATAAAACGGCTTTTGTTTTTATAAGTTTTGTACGCTATTTAATCACTAAATACACTTTTGAGCGGTTTTGAGGCAAGAAATCAACTGTGTAGAATTTGAATATTGGCAGTTTTTACCAAGTTGATGGCAAATCTGAAATGTGCTCAAAACGTTTTCGGGGTTGAGAAGCTCCACAAGAGCCCGCGAGATTAGCAGGGCCGGCCTGCTGGCCGGCCAGTCACACCCACAGAACCTGGTCACAGTTACTCAGACCACTGCGTCAGCAACAACAGAGCTGCATAGACAGAGGTAAGGCAGTGTTTCCTATACGTTCATTTTTTTGATATTACAATATCAAGGCTGACCGCCACATACTGATGTTCTTTTTTTTTTTTTTTTTTTTTTTTTTTTTTCTATGCCTAATTAAAAATCTTATTTGATTGCAGATCAGCGCATTTGCGCAGCACATCTCGCTCGTCTCAAACACCGCAGCACAAATCTGTCCAACACTACGCTGGCAATGTCGGAGACCCCTCCTTAAAAACGTTATTAGTAATGGTTTAAAGTAAATCAAGGAACATCTGGCTCGTGATGTAGCCTACAGAACATTCTCCACTAAGTTACTGCCTAAAACTTTGAAAAATAAACTACAGAAGGATTATGAAAGGGGGCTGTTGCTTTATTGTTCTAAATAGACATTACGTTGTTATTGTACAGTTGTGATTATAGTACTTGCTTTTAATTTGCTTTTATTTTATAAAGTTCCAAAGCAAAAATCTTTGTTAAACAGTTAAGTTTTAAAGTTTGTAAAAATCAGTGAATTATAGAATTAGCCTATGCTGTCTTGTCGTCTTCCCTGGTTTTCCCTTGGCGTTTATACTGGTGTTCATTCTGAATATTAAACCTTGTTCACTTAATGGTAACGTTAGCTAGTTAGGATGTGTGTTGGAGATCAGTAATTCACTAGAAATATATTTAATTAGTTGAATGGTTTAATTAGGGTTAGGGGGTGACAGAAATAATCGTGACTCGTCGACTAATCGAATAAATAATTAACAGATTAGTTGACTACGAAAATAATCATTAGTTGCAGCCCTATAGCTCACAAACCGCGCCTTTAATCCATCTCAACAAGCCAAGTACTATTAAATACCTTTCAGACAAATGTTTATACCTGTTGTTACTGCACCATACACCAGTCATGCTGATTTTAATCTTCCATGCCATAAACCTTTGTATCTAGGACAAAATTTTAACAAACATTGAGAGTTGAAGAACAAATATCATTGATTTTAAACCTCCTTGGTGGGAGGTTTTATGGAGCATGTGCACTGGTTAACTGGTAAATTCAAATAAAGAAATAAAAATCTAAATGGCAATCACTTTATTATTTTAATTTCCTTTCATTTAGTCGTAAGCATAGTATTTACGATGACAGGTCGGCTGGCTTAATAGCTTACCAAGATAGCTAGTATCTGGGTACCTATTTAGATGAACATTTATAGAAGTAATACTCCGTAATCTGCATCAAAGAGTTTTTTGTGTCAACATAACAGTATTTTCCATTAGCCATTACCATGATTAAATGTCTCATGATAATAGCTGTTAAAGAATTAGGTAGCAAGTCATGAAAAATTAGAGAGAACTACTAAATATGATTGCCGCTAAAAGTACGTCACTGTTTCATTTTTGTTTGCACAATGATGAAATTGTAAAGTTACAAAAAGAGACTGTGACAACAGAAAAATATCAACTTGTGCACATACACTTACAAATGTCTGACTTTACAGCACTAAATGCTACTAAGTGGTCAGCTCCTGAAAGATAAAGATGCTTTTTGAAAACTCAAATTAGTGCCGCAGCATATCAATCTCAACAGCAACTTGTCCATATTTAGCACCACCACATGTCCACCTGCTTCAGTAACAGGGTGGATGTACATGAAGACAGTCATAGTATCTCCACCTCACATGAGATACTTGTGTGCAAACGCTATGCTTTAAATCTAAACCCCACAGAGCAGTGGTGTAGTCTATTTTTGTGCACATTTAAGCTGGGTACATTTTCTGTACTCCTGCTACAAAACAATATGTGCAGTTTCTTTTTAAGAATTCACAATATTAAATGCATTTTAATCTGTTCAGTGTGCAAAAAGTAAAGGAAACAAGGGATAGATGCCTATGATTTGGTTTCACATGCCTGACATGCACTCTTTATGCCTTATGTAGCCTAATAATAATCATTTAGGTGCATCCATCCATGTTTACTGGAAAGCAAGTCACTGAGATCAAATAAATTGCGTTTCAGCAAAGATGACAACAGTAGTCCCTCTATTTGCTTTTAGAATACACCGCTGTCACTGAGTCCTGATTTCTACACACAGGAGTGTAGTACTGCTTGTCCATAAGCTATTACAAAACAGCATGAACTAGCTGACCAAAATTTTAAATTTAGCTTCTTTGCTTTAAAGAGTAATCACACACAAGTCCTGCTTGCACCGCACTCTAATGGTTGTGGCTTGCTCCATCCACAACCTGTGCAATGCAGCACTTGATATGCAACAATATATTGCAGTTTCAAGTGGTCACAAGCACAACAGATCACACCAAAAAAGTTTTTTCATTTACTTTGATAAAGAAGACATCACAGTAATCACTAATGTGATCTCTTAGATGTGCATTTAAGGACACCTACAGCAATGAGTGCTGAGCAACAATAATGGAGACAAAGCAAAACAACAAAAAACCTGCAGAGAATAGGGCTAACCCATCAAAGAAAGGTAAGAAAACATATCTTTTTATAACTGGTGGTGAACTTGTAGTACTAGAACAGATATCAAAACAGTACCCAGCCGTAATGTCCGTGTTATAATTAGTAATACATATAATACCTAGGTCATCCCTTACACAACACAGGCATGCAAAATGTTCACCTTTTCACTGCCACAAGTAGGAAGGAGAACAGAATTTTCCCAACTCCCTTCATGGTAATAAACTGATAACTTCAAGTGTACGTACACAATGAGCAATATGCATGTGTTGGACTTACGACCGCTAAGTGCATTTAAGGTGACCCATTAAACAGATGAAAAAATAAAGACAAAAAATGAAAATACTGTAATCAATCCGATGACAAAATGTTAAAGCAACTGCTCTTATATGCTTGACATTAATGAGCAACTCAAACTGACGATGCTATATTTAATGGCTACTATATTTTCCCCTATAAAAATATTTTGATGATTCACTGTAACCCACAAGCACCACTTCATCTCTACTCACAAAGTGCACTATCAAAGGGGTCCCTGTTACCTCTCCAGTGCTGGAGGGACCTGAATAGGCCTGAAATGTAAACAATTTTCATTTCAAAATGAGATATTGATCATTATAGACATCATTTGCTATCACCATTTTGAACATACTACACACTTGAGAAAAACAATCTCAGGTATGTTCTACTACTGTTTACAGACATCTATGAAATACCTGATCGTATGGTAATCTACTTATTTGGTCCGCCATAGCTGGAATCATACCTTGTTAGCTAGCAGCTAATTAGTCAGCAAAGCTAACTTGTCTGCAAAATTAATGTCCATCATTCACAACTGTTTGGTTAATCATAAATCTATATGTTGAAATAACACTAGCTTTTTGTGGCTCCCTTTTTAAAAACTACTTTTTAGCATCTTTCCAGTTTCCAGCTCAACACTTAAGTAAATGTTTGTTTTTCTAATTATTTTGTATTTTGTCTTCACCTACATTTTAAACATCTGGTATATAGGCCTATGTCATGTATACAGCTTCTCATACCAAGTGTGATGTATGTTCAATGTGGCAACTACCAGGGGATAAGGTCTATTTGACACTCACTTTCACAAAAAGATTATATATAATTTAAATATGATGCTTAAAAGCGGTCAGTTACAGTAAAAGCAACTACCTTTAATAATAATACCCTCTTTGAGAGTACTCCAATGTGCTATTGTAGCCTTGTATTCAGTTAGACACCGCCTCAGTGTTTGGTTCATCACAACATTGTTGTTTATGCCGAACATCATACTCATGCTAGATGCCTGTCCTGAGAGTAACACAAAGTAAAATGATGATGGCTAGAATATAAACACTTAAGGGCACTTTTCAACCAGATCCAGAAATCTAAAAGAGCAGTATATTATCACTCCACATCAGGCTCCAGAGACTTATCAAAGCTCCTGGATCCCTGAATCCAACCAAGATCCTCAGAAAGAAATAGATAAATTAATAATAAAAAAACGCTGTCTGCATTTTAACCAGATTGATATCTCACATAGTAAGTGTGCTTTTGGGGCATTAGTATTCCAAAATGTGCATGTACACAACAGATATGCTTTCAGTTTTTGCTTCTGCTTCATGTCTGCTGCTTCACAGTGAATACCTGCTCATAAATTGCTATTAACACTTTAAAGCGTTAATAAGGGACCGTAAAGCAGCACACAGATTACACAGACTTTACTGTGATTGTCCCATATTTTTCAATGAACAAAAATCATCATCTGCTATCAGAATAATTTGACAGATGTTATAATGGCAATGCTTTAAAGCATAAACACAACGCAGAGGTAGAATCCACAAATTCCTATTTTGTCTCATTTGTAATGTCCTGAAGATATTGCTGAAATGTGCAGAATGACCACAGAAAACCCCAGTGTGAAAAGTGAACTATTCACAGTACGAAAATAACTTTTATATTCTTAATCACTGAAATAAAAACGTTCAACTGCAACATCAATATGTGACGTCAGTGTTGCGGTGCGTTCTCACAGATCTCCAGCTCTCTCTTCTCGGTGCCTGTGTGTATTCTGGTTGTCTTGTTTTGTATAAAGTGCTTGTGTGTCTCCTCAGTTTCTACAATACCCATAATGCAGATGTGGCGGGTAGTGCGGAGTCCCACCCTGAGCTCAGTTTCTTAAACACTGCAACTTCACTGGCTTTATGGATTTAAGATATGCAACAAATGAATTTGGCTTAGGCACAGCACAATACAGTGTGGCCAAATATAGATACCATGACTTCGAAACTGTATGAATCTTTGCATGAAGTATTTGCTTCTTAAATATTTATGATTTATTGTGCTTGCTTTTTTGGGAAAAAACTTCAAACTGAAATGTCAAGTGTCTGGATTAACCAACCTTTTTATACTTAAACAACCAAATTATATTGATCTGCAAACATTTTAATTATTACGATTCTGAAAGCTTGATACTTGTATCCTGTTATCATGATGTTGCTGTTAGGGCTGGGCGATATGGCCAAAAGTTTTATTTTATGATAAATCATTTCATATCATTTGATATTGATAATTAGCACTATAATAATGTCAAATCATTGTTTATTATTATTAGTGTTATTATTATAAAGTCTAAAGGCAGATTTTTGCTATAATATAAATAATGTTCTTTCTAATCTTATAAATGTTAAGATTTTTGCAACTTTTAATAGCAGCACAGGTTCGAAAAACTGATGACCGTACTAGTGTTGTCATGATGAGGCAATATATCTGCGCTACCTCAGTACTGCTGCAAAAGATTTAATACAATGTTGAATTCTGTAAATGCTAAGTACTTAATCTGAATTGTATTTTGCAAGCTGTATGTGCAGATGGCCAGTAAATGGGATTTTTAATATGACGAATAATAGCTTTAAAAAACAAATTAGATTAGAACAGAGCTGCAGTCTGACTGATGCCAGGAGATAAATATGTAACTATTGTTTTTAACTAACAAAGCTGACAATGAACCAAACAATCTTAAAACTACTTTGGGAGAGCTGTTCAAAATCTGTTCCAAGTAACTCAGCAAGCATTTCAGTTACTGTTGTTTGGCAATGTTTTCTGTTTGCTGTGACATCTTGCAGCAGTGTAGCATTTTTAAATATCTAAATCTGAGCACTGGAACAGTTTCTGAAAACTCTCGTATGGTGACAACACTAACCGGTACTCTGTTAGAGCCTGGTAACAGTGTCCATATTGGTGCGTCCTCAGTACTAACACAGTGAAGCTTTGTGAGAAGGCGCCCTCAGGGTGGCGTGCTGGTGTGTCTCAGCTGGGCTGCTGGCTGAGAGCAGGCCAGGCCAGAGTTACATTCAGCTGCTGGTTGTGCTGGATCAGGGACGTGTGTCGATAGTGGAGGACCAGCTCTCTCAGCGATGAGTACAGGTTGTAGGGCTCAGCGAAGCCATACCCCGTGGACGTCCTGTAGATCACACAGTGCTTCACATCCCCATCCACACTGCAGGAGAGGAAACATGTCACTTTCTATGCACAGTTTTTAACAAAGCATATAACTATATGGATGTTTAGGGTGGTTTGGACCCATAAGTCCAACACAGACAAGGTAAGGAGTTTAATTTGCGCTGCACTCATTTTGGTTAAACTGTTAATTGAGTTAGGATTAGAGCGGGGGCAAAATATTGTAGGATGTAAATCTGATAGTACTCACACAACAGAGCAGGCAAAAGAGCCTCTCTGAGTCTGACTGTCTCTGATTAGGAAGGTCCCGTCCCTCCTCCCCCTCAGCAGCTCCTCTGCCTCCTTTCGTCTCATACCACCAACGTACCAGGTCCTCTCCTCCTGGTGTGTATCGTCTGCCAGGGTGTACGGGCTACGGGATGAATTTGTTAGTAAATATATTTTTAAACATATGATTTTAAAGGTTTCAAGGTTAGCTAGTAAAAAAACATAACATAGCTTTGTGTTTTTTGAAATTATATAACTGTTATATAACTGTATACTGTGTGCATCCTTTGCTGTCATACTTTACTCTAGCTGTACATTGCACAGATGATTGCTTATGTGTCTGTGCATGTTTCAAGACCTACACACATAGTAGAAGCAGATTAAATTAATTAACTCAAAACAAATAGAAATTGTAAAAGATATTCCTGTATATTTTGCATGTTTCTGTTTTTAAATTAGGGCTGAATTATTTGGGGGAAATATGTAATTGCGATTTTTCTGCCAGATATTACGATTCGATTTGCAATTTCCTTCTAAAAGTTTAGCTTAAGTTCAGTATTCACTGACAGTCTATTTTTGACGGAAGCTGCGTTAAGCAGCACAGAGCAGATGAACGGGACAAGAAGTCAGACACAGAACGGCATAGAGAATCCAGGCGTTTTTCAAAATAAAACACTATGTGCAGACTCCCGATTGTTAAAACAGTTAACATAGTTAAAACAGTATATTACTTAACCATGGTAGAAGTACAAAAATCAAGGACAAAATCTGAACAAGTCAGCAAAATACTTGCTCCATGTGGGAAATGTAGCCTGCAGAGAGTGGAACGGAACGAACTCACAGAGAGCTATCCGTATCCGTAGTTGAAGCACAAGAAAGGACAAATTAACAACACGTCAACAACATAGGGCAGGCTAACGCTCTGCTGCTGAAACACTTGACTGCGACTCAATTATCCCACGTTTTCCTCTAGTTTCTGTGCCCGCTCTGATTGGTAAGTAGGACCATAACAGGAGAAGCATGGTGCTTGTGATTGGCGAGCAGGTCTGTCAGACAATGATGACGACGGAATGAATTTGTAACTGCATGACTGTTTAAAACGGGTCAAATGCGCTGCATGATTAACCTATATTTTAATCGCCGTCTTTACGATTAGCTAATCGCGTTCTTTCAAATCGCAATTTCGATTTAAAAACGATTAATCATTCAGCCCTAGTTTAAATGAATAAAATAAACTACAAGCTCAGTTGACCTGGGTAAATGAGAATACTCACTCTTCTTCTTCATTCTTGATACCCAGCCAGTCATTAATCTGGCTCTGTCTCGTGCCTTGCTGGGTGAGCCAGCTGAAAAACACAGTCAAAATGCTGCCTTATGTAGATTTTTAGAAAAAAACATACAGTAAGATTTATTTATAGAGTTTAAGTTTACAGAGACAGTGTACATTGATAAACATTTCTGTAAATGTGCCAGTTTAGCCAGTTTGACTAATGTTCGACTGTAGTCCTTGGGCAGGTGTTATCGCAACTACATAAAATACACTAAAACAGGAACAACAGTACTTATACATATAACAAGATACCTTTCGCAAGGACATGTAAAATACTTTAAAACAAGGACAACAATTTAAAAAACATAAAACATAAAACAAAGCACTCTTCCGGTGTTTCTGAATAATTAATTCACAGACTATGGTCACACACTTGATTGTCTTTTAACCATGATTGTAAATGCTATTTAAATGAATAATATGTTTCACAATCTCTAATAACAGTTGGCAGACTATTCCATGTGTGAGCTGCTCTCACTGAAAAAGCTGACTGTCCAAAGGCAGTCTTCCTCATAGGTATTATACAGTCTCCTCTTGCTACAGTGTGTGTCTATTATCAGTTGTTTTCTGCTTTATAAAAGCAGTAATAGGGGGAGGAGCCAAGCCATGCAGTGCAGATGCACTTTATCAGTTCTTCTGTTTCATTATATTAGATGACAACATGTCAGAAGGTGATCCAGGAGGCTTTTCTAAGAAAATAGAAGAGCTTCACCAATGATTTTCAGTGTCCATTATAGCATTTTGATCATGCAGCAGTCACATTGCCACATAACACTTGTGTGAATTAAGAGCACCTTCTAAAGAAAATGTATTTTTTTCCCCTCCTTTTAAGAGTTGTTAATACATAATAATGTCAGCAGATCAGACCTTGAGTTTTGCTGTGTAAACGTCTCATTCACAACCTGTCATAATCTGCATATTAGGCCACATCTGCTTATTTGAATTTACTGAAGACCGAAAAGAGCGAGAGTCAACTAGAAAGACAGACAGTCTTTCCATCATTGTCATGATAAAGCCCCCATACTGAGCATACTAGAGATCCACAGCTGTGGCAACAGCTGATTGCTTTTTCTATGTTTACATCTCAGCTGTGTCACTGTTATTTGATGCACTAAACATTTTGTCAGTCATAGCATGGATGTTTTTACCTCATTAGCTTGTTAACTTATTAAGCAGTTACTGTATGTTAACACACTTGATTTGCAGGTGGGTAGATAGATAGATAGATATAATGAGGGAGAGAGAGAGAGATCTAATTATGCAGGGATTTATTTCCTTTTGTCTGCCACTCAGAATTTTCATCGGCTACTTTAGAAATTTCTACTTCATGGTATAACATTTAGACATCAATTAATGTAAATAATGCTGTCATTTAATATTTAAACACAAAACATTTACATGCATGTTTGCATGCACAAATCATCCATGTCTTTCAGTACGTGACCCCTTAACATTAATCACTAACAAACTTCACAGTTTGTTATACAGTCAGTGCTCAATACAAAACCCAGAGTTCAATCACCAGTACTTATCTCAGTTTAACTCTCAATAAAAGGCCATATCTTAACAAAAAACTCCTCTTTGGGATCCTATCAAGCAAATAATAAATGCTCAGTTTGAGTTTCGATACAAAAGTTGGCCAACAAAATTAAAACCAAATGACGCCTCTTGTGTCTAATAGTCACCTCCCTTAGGTGCTCTGCCTCTTACTGGCTAGTACTCTTTGCCATTGTTGGTTGTCAATTTGACCCCATTTGGGTGGGTGTTAATTTCAGATCTTGTAGACATGCCTCCACTCTTTTGAGAACAGACTATTTTGGGACCAAGTAAAGCGCAAGAAGCCTTTCTGCACCAGTAAAATCTAAAACATGAGGTGTTGAAGGGATGAACTTACAGCAGGTATTGATCTCTGATCTTCCTGAGCTGCACAAGGTCAGGCTTCAGGCTATTCATTTTCCTGTCCACCTCCATGTGAGCCAGCGCCTTCCTCTTCAGCTCCTCCTCCAACTTCTTCTTGCTGCTGTGGATCTCCTCCACCCCTGACTGCAGCTCATCTGAATTGCTTTGAATCCTGGAAGTTGGGAGGAGAAGGAGGAAAAGATCATTCAGAGCATGCTGAATGATGATGGTTAGCAGTGAGTATTTTTAAGTTTAAAATGCAGGAAATAAGCAAAATGGATACACGAAATGTGAGAACATTGGGTGGAAAAAGGTTTGGTATTTGGAAGCATACTTGTCAGTCTCTGTACTGCTGTCTAATGTGAGGAACATGTCGATGTATTCCTTGCTGTAGCGTTCTTGAGTTTCACACTCCTCTTCAAAGATCCGAATGATTTCACTGAAAGCCTCTATGGCTGTCCGCTTGCTTTGCAATTCCTAGGGAGGACAGGAAACAAATCTTTACTTTGACATTGAAGGCCTTACAGTCAACACTCTGATGTAGTAAAGCAGAAGTAAAATATGCTTAAAATATATTGCTTTTAACCAAAAAAACACAGATTTATTTAGTAAAATGAAGTCTCTGTGATTAGGATGCTGTTGTACCTGGGAGGTTTGGTTAAACTTCTCATACAGGCGGTCATACTCTTTGCTCTTCTCTTTGTATTGATCCTGAAATATCCTCAGCTGTTCTCCAACTGCATCAATGTCAACTTCCATGACAACCTGCTGCTTTACAGATGAGAATGTGAAAAATTTAGGACCAGGTCCATTTTTAAAGCTCCTGTGATTCATTTAGTCTGATCTAAACTAACATTACTGAAGGTTTTGGGACATTTATCATGTTATGTCCAGTATTGCTAAAATGTTAGATAATTAAAACCATCCTTGAATGAACTGCTTCCTTGTTCATTACTCCTGTTACTAGTTCTGATGTAACCACATGTAGGCCAACAGAATATCAGGTAAAACTACACCAATAACAATAACCCTCAACAATAAATAACACGTGTGTGTGTGTGTGTGTGTGTGTGTGTGTGTGTGTGTGTGTGTGTTTATATTTAGAAATTCTACGTATAAAAAGTGTTAGGGTTAGAGTCTTGTTTTGATATAAGACAGCTCAAGGCCTCATAAACCCACCTGCTGGTACCTGGATATGGGGTAGAGTAGCCGTGTGTCCAGTTTAGCGTTGTACTGGGCCAGAGACTTGTTCTGGTAATACTGGATCAAGTCCACCATAGAGGGAAAGGCCAGTGGCTCAGAAAAGCCGTACTTTCCCCCATGATGAAAGATCTTTATCAGTCTGTTGGAGCCATCTTTTCTGCAAAAGCCAAAGCACAACTGTTGTGCAAAGCTGCCAATAGCATGCAGAACAAAATGCATATCCACCTTTTTTAGGCTGATTATAGGCAAAGGGAAGTCTTTATTTTCAGAAGAGGGGCACCAGTTGCTATTTTCATGGCCGATTCCAATTATCATATTTTGTTTTTGACCTGCCGATTCCGATTTTTTGTCTTTCTAAGAACTATAAATGACAGCACATAAATCAGTTTTGTAACTTTTCTTTAATGCAAAATTATTTATTTATTATTATTATTAGGATCCCCATTAGCAACAACATAAGCATTGGCTGTTCTTCCTTTGGTCCATTCAATTGTATGTTCATGAGGAAACACTGACTATTAAATAACTTTTACATTTTCTCAAACTGCACCAGGGTACAGGACCTTCTCTGCTCCCAGTTCGGTTACTGGACAGTTTTTTTTTTTTTTTTTTTTTTTTTTTTTTTTAATACTAGTAAATAAAATCCAACTAAAAATAAACTGCAGTATAACACTGCTCAGAGTTTCCCACAGAATGAAAGTGTTACTGTGGTTGGGTTGTATTTGCATATTTTATTTTTTAATGTTTGAAAGAATACATTACCATATTTCTAGTAGGTTACTACGCTATTTTTGTGTTTACTCACAAACTACCCTAACCTGCTCACCTTGCTTCCCTTCAAACACATGCATAAAGTTGCTTAAAAAACCCAACTCGCGTTTTCACAGCGGCAGGTGAGCTGCCTGTAGAAATAACGATTTGATACTTATCGTAATAATTATCGATATCGAAAGATATGAAACTTTTTACCATGATAACATTTTTTGTCATATTGTCTAGCCCTATGTCCAACCAGACATCATCACCATCAAATCAAACATCTGATGGTGCAGCAAGTAGCAGTTACAAATCAAACAAGAATTAGCTTAGCAAATATTCTTGTTTCTGTCAATTTCAACACTTTGGCAAATATAAATATCACATGCCTGGTGTGTGAGTCAAAAATTTCACGGGCCCGGCACAACTCCAGCACAAGTGTTACTGGTTCAAGATATAATTACTCTAATGCAGAAAGCAGCAGCCGGTCAGCATCATACTTGTGTGGTCAGTGTGGGAGGAATTTCAGATATGGAAATATGAGAGGCGTTTCATACTGGGCTTAACCACTGATGTAAATGCATTGTCTTCAACCGCAGTCCTGCACAGACCTCTACTTGGATGCCAACACAGTGTTAACTCAATGTAATTCAGATAATTAACACCTATTCGACAACATCTGCGGAGTGAAAGCTGCTTTACTCCTCCATTACGGTCTACAGCGCATCTGTTCAGCCACAGTGTGTTGTACTTTCAGAAAGCGTATAGACATATGCCTGCAAATTGTAAAAATATGGAGTTCAAGCCTAAAAAGAGCTTTGGGTCACAGTTGTGCAGTCTTTTAAGTCCTTTCTTAAAACATACTTTTATAGGAGAGCCTTTCCCGATGTTATTTGACTTTATTTTATATTTAAAACATTATTTTATATTTATCTTAAACATGTATTTTGGTCTTTTCAATATTTATTAAATTTATATTTATATTATTGTAGTCTTTTGGGTATTGTATTGTTGTCTTTGCACTTGTTGAAGCACTTTTGTAACTTGTTTTTGAAAAGTGCTTTACAAATAAAGATTATTATTATTATAGTGTAAGGAAGACAGTGTAGACAGTATGATTAAAGTTGGAGCTTGTCTGTTCCTTCAGACAGAAGTAAGATAGATGTTTGGAAAGGCACGACTGAGACCCATCATCTGTAGACAGGGTGTTATGTTGCTGACCGCTGGAGTCTGCGCCAAACTCTAATCAACAAAGCTTTATATCTGAAACCCAGTCCGTCCTGATTCAACTAAAATTAGACAGAAACCAGGAAATGTACAAAGTTCCACAGTAAAATTAAATTTAGATGTTGAAACCTGGAAATATTAACTGACCTCTGACTACATGTATTCGATTTGGGGTGCTCATAGCCTTCCCAAGAGATACAGAGTACTGATAATTATAATTTAAGCAGTTTGTAGGCTAAAACACTGTACACACACAAGGAGCCTTATGCTACCCTTAACAGTTTATACTTTATAAAATGTAACTATTGGCTTTTCATGTGATGAAGACTTAAAAGGTAGAATTACCTTAGTGTGAGAGTGTATTCCCCCTTAACCTTACTAGAAGCATTTCGGACCAGGAATGTGCCATCAGGGGTGTTTCTCATCATCTCGTTTACTTCCTCTCTGGACAACCAAAAAGGATATTAAGGTTTAAAATAGAGAAACAGAATAGTGGAAGAGAAACAGAATAATGTACTGTATTACATTAGCATGCGATTCACCAAATCATCAACACGCCATATGAAAATATTCAATACCTCGAGATATTTCCCCAGTACCACTCTGCATCAGACAGGTGGTTGCCATCAGTGCTGGAGTCACATGCTGCCATCGCTTTGGTTATGTTGTTCTTGGGTCCTGACCACAAAGGTAATAAAACTTTTGGTTACAAAGACAAAAATATGAAGGTTCAAGTGTGTAAAAGTGTTTTTAATCAAAAAGCAAAGTTTCTTGTATTACTAAAATTCTTTGCATGTTCTGCAGTCTTGATTGTTGGAGGAATCAGGGCTCATTTTTGTTTCAAAGATGCATTTTGCTTCCATTCATTCTTAAGTATAAAAAATAAAAACTACTTCCATAAAAGAAAATCCATCATAGTCTCCTTGTCATCCTTTTTTCACTCATTATATAATTATCTTGTTCTTAGCAATCAACAGCAGGGGTTAAAGTTTTGATTTTAAAAATGACAAGAGAGGCGGTAAAGGAGCTAAACATGTGACGGAGGCTTGCATTTGGAAAAAAACAGCAGTTTGTTATAACACTCGTTATGTAAGAGTGTATCTTTTCCTTTTTTGGAACAAAAGTGATTAAATATGCTACAAAACAAATGTTACACTTCTAATAAGCAGAACAAAGAGATGCTGGAGAGTACCTCCTTCCTTGGCAGTGTTGGTTCTTAAGGCAGGAAACGCATCATCATGATCAACAGGGGAGGAAAGCTCCTGCATAAATGCCATCAGGGTGTGTGACTGCGCCTCGCTGTCGTTTTGGCCCATCTCAGGCTCCAAAAATTCTGCAACATAAACCGTACAACGACCCAGTGTTACTCCTGATATCAGTTGAGGCCAGTCTGTATGTGGCTATCTGCACTTTGTGGCTGTTCAGCCCACACTGCTGGCCCACTGACAGGGACTCCAGAGGGTGATATCGTTGTGTTGCTTAGTCTTGCACCATGTGGGAAGACTGTGTCCAGACTAGTCTGCTGACAGGTGATACTGTCTGACTGCCTAAAATACCAGAACGGGCACTCCTCATTGCTCAGGCACACTCAGCCAGACTCAGCGCTGCTTAGTGCTCGACCTCGCCTCGCCTCGCCTCGCCTAACAAACAACAGCTGTCTGCAGCGAGATGCCATGTCAGCCTTGAAGGACTGGAGCTGATGTGCCACTGTTTCTGTTTATGTTTGGTGTGTGTGGCATTAAGTGGGGAGGGAAAGGTGAGAACCTGTCTGTCAGGTATTTTCTATAACCTATATTTGCTGGTATGTGGATATGCACACATGTGCTGATACATGTGTGTTGTCAGAGGCGTGCTGTTAGCAGTTGATGTAAATCTTCCCTTCAGCACTTGTGATGGCATGCCTGGAGATGCATTCAATTGCTGCTGCAGACAGAGCTGTAGGTTGGAGGAATCATACGTATGCTGTTGTAAAATTAGAAAGGGGCGTAAAGTCATTAATCCAGCTCTGTCAAAACTTGCCTGGTATAAAGGCTGCATCTAGTAAATCTTGAATCTAGTGGAATCATTCAACACACTAAGTCCTTGAACCCATGTGATCCCATCTGCTACCATTTATCTTGGAGTCTGTGAAATTCTTATTCTCTAGAACTAAAACATTCAATCACTAAAAATTGGCAGCAGAATTGACAGCTATTTCGATAAATGATTGATTGTTTAAGCAATTGTTCAGGCAAAAAATGGCAACAATTCCCTAGTTCTGGCTCCTCAGTTCAGGAGGATTTATTTGGTGAACTGAATATCTTTGAGTTTGGGACTGTTGACCATACAACACAGTACATTTTAAGATGCCACCTTGGGCTTTGAGAAATTGTGATGGGCATTTTTTTTTATTATTGTCTGATATTTTATACACTAGATGATTAAGTGGTGACTCAAGATAACCAATTGATTCACTGATATTAATTTCATTTTGAAAATATTTGTTAGTACCAGCTTGGGAGTCCCCCAGATGATTTAACAGTATAGTATATTGAAAAATATATTATAAATGAGGTCAGCCACCTTTGGCCGGTTGCTGAAATAGACATCTGACTACAAACAGATCCTTTACTAAGTACCAAGACCACACTAAGAATACTAAAGTAAAACTGTTACTAAAATAAAACTTTGTAAGAATAATCAGGAAAATGTACTTAAAATATTAAAAGTAAAAGTAGTTGATGCAGAAAAAAGTGCTCATTTTGAAGTATTTTGTATCGGACTGAAACTAATGATTATTTTTTATTATGGCTTACCCTGCTGATTATTTTCTCCATTAATTGATTCATTATTTGATTTGTAAAAATTCTGACAATAATGAGAAATGCTGTTATAATTAGCCAGAGCCCAAAGTGACACTTTTACAATTCTTGTTTTGTTGAACCAAAAGTCCAAACCTCAACGTTACTACGAATAAGTGAAAATATAAAGAAAAGCAGAAAATCTTTAGAATGGAACCATGAAATGTTCTGAAAATGACTGAAATTGGTCAAAATAGTTAATCTCATTGCTCTCTCTCCCCCTCTGAGGAGCTATGAGCGAGGATACACCAGTGCATCCTTCAGGGAAGTCTTTTACTGACCAACACGCCCCCTTACTGGGTGGCCGTTTCATTGGTTGGACGCTGCAGCTGATCGTAATGATCTGATACATCATGAGGTGTGTGTGTGTGTGTGTGTGTGTGTGTGTGTGTGTGTGTACAATGATCGAACAGTGACGAGTGATGTGACTTGCAAATAAAATGTATGCAGTAGTGTTAAAGGATATCAGAAGAGGAAATACACAAAAAGCCTAAAACTGAGCTAACATATACTTTGATATGAGTTATATCATTTCAATTTCCCTTAAACATTTAGCCTAATAAATCCAAAGACACCATGATATGTATTCTGGGTTATTCAATAATGAATTCACAATCAGAATCAAGAAATATAAATGCAGATAATCTAAACATTGTGCCAGTAGAAATGATCCTGTGCCCCTGAGCAGGACATACAATAACCTATAAATATTTATGTGCAGGTGTTTGGTAACACCTGCACATAAACAGGTAACAGCTACAGAGAGTATCATGCAGCTGTGCAGTGATGACTGTGAGACTGTATCAGTACGAACACAGTGCACATGTGTGCAGACACAAACTCCAAGTCTCTACAGCTGTTCGAGCTGACTGACAGCTGATCCAGCTGTGTTCAACTGCCGCCGTCATCAGAAACGGACGTCATTTCATGTGACTATTTTAATGACATCAGTGCCAGCAAGAGGTACGAGTCAGACCTTTGGCAAAACGATAAATCTGTATCTTTACAGTCAAATGTCCTCAAATTAATGAATTTATTCAAAACTAAACCAAAAGTCATTCAGACTGCTGAATGTATCATCTGGATCATACAGAGTTTTTTAATTTGGCATCAATTGGGTGTCTTACTGAACTGCTTCTTGGCTGTTGTAGACGACTTTCTCCTTTTAGTTTTTATCTACACAGTCCTTGTGCCTTGACTACTTTTTTTTATTATCAAAGAACCATATTACTGCGATGGACTGCCGACCTGTCCAGGGTGTACTCGCCCGATGTCAGCTGGGATTGGCTCCAGCCCCCGCGACCCTGTACGCAGGATAAGCGGTTGACGATGGATGGATGGATGGAAGAACCATATTATTTTTATATCCACTCATTTAATATATTTCATTCTCGTCGAGGCATGGGAACGATTCCCACGGCCCGTCAATTACACTCTACGTTAAAAGTGATTGTGGCTTCTACTTCCTGAACCCTGGATGACTGAGAAAACTTCACTTTGCTACTATATAGCAATATAATTACTTTAAATGTGGAGTAACAGTTTTGCATATTAACACAGATGACACAAAGAAAATATGACCAGATAGTGGTTCACAAAGCTTCTGCTTTGTTGCACAGAAAAGGAAGAGAAAGCCAACACCTTTTGTTATGAGATTGTTTCTACATGATTTTCTCATCTGTTTAATATAATTTAATACATCACAATTACTATTATTCTCAAATAATTGTAGTAGTAGTAGTTGAGTATTGATGCTTAAAAATAAGTGTAGTACCTTTAATCTTACCTTGAACTACTGGTGAAGGCTCAGGCCTAGTTGCAGGGGAAATGTCTGTCTGCTGTTGTGATTGGTTAAGCAGTGATGACATCATCTCAGGAAATAAAGAATGGGGCTCAGGATTATTCACCATATGGTCGGTGCTCTCGTTGACGAACACAGCCTCCTCCCTGAGATGGAGAGAGGCTAGTGATGACGTTGGGAAATCAGCTGGCAGGTGCTCGTCGTCCCCTGTGCGGTTTTTGCTGTCGAAAGCTCTGAGCTGGAAACCCTCTTCTGCCATTTTCACAACACAGACTGAATAGTCCAGCTAGGTTTTTATTGAGGTGGTGAAGCAGTAGGATGGTATGTACCACAGTGCTGTTGATCACATACTATCAGCTTACAGTTGCACTCATGGCTGTGGATAAAGAGGGTGACGGTACAGAGTTCAATCAAGGCTGCCCTGTATTTTGGAGGTAGAGCATGTTCCTCATCCTAAAACCCCTTTTTAACCTCATCACAGAGCAGAGCAATGACATTGCCAGGAGAGCCTGTGTTTTAACTTTTATATATTCTGTGGGTGTTTTCTATAGTCGAGCACTGTTCTGCTTCACAGTCATTTGATTAAAGGGATTCATACCTAGGAGCTACCCAGAATAACAGTGCCTTCTTCATAGACACCTTGACACTTGTTGTTGATCTGTTAACCCACTGCAGAGTGACAGACTGAAGCTCGACTGTCTGGTTTCTTCCTCAAGGACTCGCATATCAGAAAACCTAAAACAAAAAAGGCACAATTGAAGTTTGTACCAAAGAATGGGAAAACACACCTATTGTTTTGCATGCAAACATCTGGCCAAATAATGGTGAATAATCTGTTTAACAACGTAATCCACTGCACTGATATATTTCTGGTATTTTGCTATTCGGTGTTTGTGTTGTGTTGCTATTATTTCGAAAATTTAACCTCTGGCATTTCAATCTAAGTACTTGTAAAACAGGTTTAGATGATTCTCAATCACTGCTGTTACTGACATGTAAAATGTTGAACACTATAGTTCTCTGATAGGTGTTACACAGCATAAGAAAAAGAGAATACTGTCAACTTAATTAGGATGAACAGTACGGCTGGGCCATCTTATATTGTGCAACAATAACAATGTGTCAACCATCAGATTTTCCATTTTCTCCATGTTCACAATGGACAACGGCTTTGTGATAATATTGGGTTTTTAGATCATTTTTGCATGATGAAGTAGCTTTAACTTTCAGGTATTTGATTCACTTGATAAGTAACAGACATCCCTGTCTGGTTATCTTTTCCGTAAGCGGCTTATTAATTGATTTGCCAGGAAATTTTACTATATCACAAAATACATGCATCTAAAATTACACACACTGTGCCATGTCTTAAGACTTATTACAATATTTATTTCAATATTATATTAAATATTTGTCAGTTCTAAGTGTGTGTATCATGAAGGCAATACATCTTACATTTCCCTGTGTTGTAAAATGCCAAATACATGCACTTTGATACCTGAACATCAACCACTATTAATGTTCACTCTGATCAAGAGGAGCTGGCAGACTAAGATGTTTCCAGAGGCTGGTTGTGTTGAGCACAATCCAGACTCTGAAACTTTTTTTTTTTTTAATGTCTTTGTGTACAGATTTACAGTTTTTGTTACAACTACAAAGGAATTCCCAATGCTAATAAAAAACGAACAAGCAGTCATCTATCAGGAAAAAAAAGCTGTGTTTTAACAAATCTCACAAAGGAGGTTAATTTGGTAATTAAATGTCGTGCAACAGACAAGTTCTGCTCTAACAGAACAACTAGAAACACATTTAAGTATATTATATGTTACAATTAAAATTAGCACTGGACCTTATTTGTCCCAGGATCAACATTTAACATCTGGAGAATGTAATGACGAACAGCACTTTAAAAAAATGAATTATTTCACAAGAGATTTTATCTTTACAAAAAAAGACAAATATACAAGTATATGTTTCTTTCAACATTGAATTTACTCATTGAAAGTAAAAAGACGTATTGTCCAAGAGAGTTTAGGATATTGTCTCTTGCTGATTACCTGGATTTTGCTTTTTGGGAATTCTGAATCAACTAATTCTTATATAATGACTGTACAGCGTTACATCATGAAAGCCATTACATGCTAAATAATTCAAGGGGACTGTGTATAAATCCTCGTCCTCTCCCAAGCATCTGGGATTAGTCAGTGGTTTATTATCCTCCTATACCCTTTACAAAGTGATATCCTATTGAAGGGATGCGAGTGTATCATCGAGCTGCTCCACAAGAGGAAAGTCACCATAACTTTATTTTAATCAAAATGTATTTAAATGAAAGATTCTTTTTTTTTTTTTTTTTTTTTTTTGTAAAATTGATTTATCCAATCACAATGGATATTGCTTTAACAGAAAAAACAGAGTTCACAGTTGCCGTAACTCAACTGAAAAACAACATTAACCATTTAACTTATAATTGCCTACTTCTAAATCTGGACATAATGCTTTTCAGCATCAATTTTAGGTATCAGAGATTTCAAAAAGCAGTAAAAATACTTATTATATGACAACTCAAATTGACTTGATCTGTGTTGATAGACAGATCAAGTCTGTTTCTATAAAAGAGGCATTTGATGGAAACAAAATTTACTGAGTAATGCAACATTGCAGATCAAAAGTCGAAGCGTTGGAAATGGCGTCGGCATCAAAATATTTCGATTGGTACGCAGCCATGAAGTCTTTACGGCTCGTTGTTCACGGTACATTGTGTCCAATTCCCATTGAGACAATGCAAGATAATAAACTTGATTTTGAACATGAGCCCATTTTCTCATGTTTTAATACTTTTGCCCAAAAAAGCTCCAGAAACGCATCCATCTGGGACAACACACAGCTGGGTTATTTCTCAACACAAGTCATTAACAACCATTTTTGGTATCAATATATGTTGCTAGTTCTGTTTTGAAAGTCAGAAAAATGGGCTGTCCCAAACTCGGCTGTAATCTAATGATGACTTAATCAAAACGAAGTAAATGCTGTTCGCTCAGCTCGTGGACTACAGTTGGATTGGTGGATCAATAAGGAAAAGCATTGGTGAGAAGCAAAGTTGGTCATAAAAAATCTCATTACGTATGTTGCATTTTACAGCAGCGCTCTGCTACTTTCACAGTGTCGGGCAATTGAAATCGTCAATCCAACAGATAATGCCGAAAGTATTTATTTTGCTGATGATGACTGTCCTCTGAATATCTTAAATATTTGGTCATTGTATGTTATCGATCAGTGTTGCATCCCAAAAATGGGATGGCTCATGGACGTCATATTTCTCCCAATGCCTTTAAGCTTCCCATCGTCCTGTACCTAAGCTTGGAACGACGCACAGATATGAAGGCTGAACATGCACGAAATTTGCGAAATGGAAACTTCTGGTGTAGATAACAACAGCCTTAAAAAATTAAGCATCATCAGGAAACTCAGCAGGACGGGACAGTAAGCACCTACCTGGGCCAAGACAGAAGGCGGCAGGAGAAGCCAACGTTTCATTGACATCCATGAAGCGGTGAAGAGACGTGGCTGGACGCACACGTGGCTCAGATCAAACCAACCACAGGCCTCGGTCCTCACGCCATCCCATGTCCCTCCACCCCCCCACTCCTCCTTCCTTTCCAGTACTGCCTTTCCTCCCATGTCCACCATCTTTTAAAGATCCTCTCCACTTGGTTGTTGTCCGTCCAATTTGAGTGCAACACTTTCCCACGATGACATTCCTCTAGGTATTTCCTCTTCTCTTCTTTGATATCCCTCATGTCTTCATGAAAATCAAGCTTTTTCCAAGATGTTTTCCACTTTGGTCTTACTTTTACATGCCTGGTCGTTAAAAAAAAAAAATATATATATATATATATGTGGGGTGCAGTTTAAAAAAAAAAAAACTATAAAAATATATAGAAGTATGAAAAAATCTATACAAATGATGTAGGTTTCAGAGCTTATGCAGGAGAAGGAAAGGCAAAAGTAAAAGAGCAGCACTACTCTTCGCACCGTAACTCTTTTTCACAGTTTGAGAGCAGTGTGGCTGCACAGTGGGGGGACAGAAGCATGAGAATGAGTCGGTGGGGGAAAAAAAACTATATAAATAAATAAGGGAAGGATGCCACTGTTGCTATACAGAGCGAGGGGCTTAGTGGTCTCCTGAAATCCTATTGGCCGGCCTGTTGCCATGTGCTCGGGAGTCAGCAGAGATGCTGCTAACAAATCAAGGAAATGTTCTAATATTAGACTGTATGTATCTAGGCAGCGGGAGCCCCTGACCTCTCAACTCCGCCAGCGTTACGTTCCACTTCACAGATCAGCATAATGAAAGAAGTGGTGTGGAAGTAAGTGGTTAAAAAAAATGTTACTGTAGACAAAACAGCAGACACAGCACCCCACCACCCCAATTCCCTCCATTATATCCCAGCCAGTACAAACAGACAGAAGAGGAGAAAGCAGATTTATCTTCTGTTTGGATTTCTGATGTTTATGAAATACAGATGGATTTCACTGTATTTTGGTTCTCTGGACAATTTATCAAAGATACAGTTTGTGAAATGTTGAAACAGCCTACTTCGAGTGATCCTATACTTGCATGTTCTGCTGTAATAAACAAGGTCGATGCATTAAAAATTAAACAGTTGTGATGCTGATGTACAGTGGATGGAAAAAGTCTACACATCCCTGTTAAAATGCCAGGTTCTTATGATGTAAAATAATGAGACAAAGATAAATCATGTCAGAACTTTTTCCACCTTTTAATGTGACCTATAATGTGAACAATTATATAGAAAAACAAACAAGTCAGGAGACGGGTACAAAAGAATTTCCAAAGCATTAGATATACCATGGAACACAGTGAAGACAGTTATCATCAAGTGGAGAAAATATGGTACAACTGTGACTTTACCAAGAACTGGACGTCCCTCCAAAATTGATGAAAAGACGAAAAGAAAATTGGTCAGGGAGGCTTCCAAGAGGCCTACAGCAACATTAAAGGAACTGCAGAAATTTCTGGCAAGTACTGGCTGTGTGGTACATGTGACAACTATGTCCCGTATTCTTCATATGAATGTGGTAAGGTGGTAAGACGGAAGCCTTTTCTTACAAAGAAAAACATCTATGCATGGCTGAAGGTTGCAAAAACAAACATCAAGTCCCCCAAAAGCATGTGGGAAAATGTGTTATGGTCTGATGAAACCAAGGTAGAACTTTTTGGCCATAATTCCAAAAGGTATGTTTGGCGCAAAAACAACACTACACATCACCCAAGGAACAGCATACCCACAGTGAAGCATGGTGGTGGCAGCATCATGCTTTGGGGCTGTTTTTCTTCAGCTGGAACCGGGGCCTTAGTCAGGGTGGAAGGAATTATGAACAGTTACAAATACCAGGCAGTTTTTCAATTGAATTGTTCACATTATAGGTCACATTAAAGGTGGAAAAAGGTCTGACATGATTTATCTTTCTCATTATTTTACATCATAAGAACCTGGCATTTTAACAGGGGTGTGTAGACTTTTTCTATCCACTGTATGCTAGTTTACCCTATACCCTGCATTTGTTATATATTTTATGACTAGCATTCTGTCATACATTATCATATTCATTATTATCCGTATCACACTATCTGTATTGCTAATTAAACACTTTTGATCTCAAACAGTGATTTTTATGGAGAATAGTAGATGTGAAGCTTCACCTTAAAAGAATAAATAATGCTATTATTGTAACTGCCAACCACTATAGGTTTGTCTTCCTAGATTTCTTCGAAGCATGATAATTCCTTCATAAATTGTGTGGCAATCCTTAATATTTACTCATAATTCTTGTATAGGTCTGTTAGGCAATGCAGGTTAGATGGGATCATGCTGTAGTTAAGATGGATTAGGATTCTACTAATCTCTATTCTTGGTTAACTTGTATAGGCTGTTGAATTAGATATGTGTCTTACTTACTTACTACTGATTTTGAATGTGATTATTCAGACACATTGATCAGCATATCCCATATACACCTTCCAGCATCTCACAGAAGAATTACTTATTGTCTTAATTACAGAGGTTTTATCATAAGCAGTGCCACAAAAATGTAAATAAATAAACAAAACTAAGTCCACACCAAATCTGCACATTGTAAAACTCAAATTAAATATACCAAAATAATCCACAATTCATAAAAGTTTTGTTTAGAAAAACATTCTGAAATCACAAAGGATACTGTAAGAAGATGTTTAAATCTCAATTGACATTTATAGTCGAATCTGAATCTTTCCCATTTTTAAACGGTATTTGCTGTAAAACACATTGAGGAAAGCAGAGAATTAAATGAATTTCACTTTCCAGCTTATTATCCTCACAATATCCACAATCCTTATGTTTTCAATATTTAATGGCAATAGATACCCCATCATATCTGTGCACAGAGTCATTTCTTACTTTAAAACAGATTAAACTTAACATTTTGTTTTACACTTACAACAGATTGCGTCTTTGGTAATCTCATAATTACTGATTTTGTTTATGGATGATGTGGTTACATTATCTCTCTGCAGAGCTGGTCTTTAACAGCTGTTGAGTAAATGGTCCTAATACGGTGATGACTTGGGCATCACATTTAATGACATGATAATTAGATGGAAAGAGGTTAGAAATATTGTGTTTCCCCAAATCTACTTAGCAAGCATGTAAATACATTTCATGTGTTCAGCTGATGTGAAGGTTTGGCTGTTCACTTTACTGACTGTAGGACTACATGTTTAGCTATGTTTGTTTAGAATTTCAGTTGCTTTAAATGACCACATGATGTGACCTTGTGTGTACCACAATTTTTTTTAGTGCTAGTCATACTGTATATTTGTATAAGGCACCAAATGTATAAATGTGCAGATTTAATAGGTTAGAGAATTATACAAGTGGTGCACTGGTGAATCTTAATAAAACCTGCATGTTATACCTCTGATGTGAGGCTATTCATGAGTGCATGAGTTTTTTACATTTTTACATCTACATGGGTGTTGCTGTTTTAACTGTAGATACCCTTTTCATGTGCTTTGTGTTATTAAGTGTGATTCTTGTGACAAATTGTAAATTGTGGTAAATTGAATAGAGTCTTTTATTTAAATAGAGCCCAATATCACAAATTTGCCTCATGGGGCTTTACCATCTGTACAGCAAACAACACCCTCTGTCTTTAGACCCTCGATTCTAATAAGGAAAGACTCCAAATGCCAGGATGATATTTCTCTCTACAGATGCTGTCATTGTATGGCTGCATGAACGCATGAAGGGCATACAATACCATCTAGAATAACAAAGCCAATGTGCTTTTAAAACATAAGAAATAAGGATACACATAGACAAAAATCCAAATAGCTTTGTTTCTTTTTAATGTAAATTTGCATTGGAAAATGTAGTTGAAGCACCATGTAGCTATTACATTAATTTCCACCAGTTGTTAATTTACCACTATGTGATTACACATTTCTCATATGTGACATTTAGGAAATATACAAAATTATCAGCTCAAGAAGTTTTACCTACAACACTATGAAAGTAATTATTCACTTTATTTAATTATTCACAGAGTAAAACTGGCAGAAATGCACAAATCCACAGAGGCAAGTATGATCTGATCTGATCACTTCCTCATTGCAAGAGCCAGGAACTCCTTCCTGGTCCTGGGATCATCAAGAAATGCTCCCAGCATTGCTCCCACCGTTGTAACATTACTGGCGTCCATCTTCTGCACACCTCATCACCATGCACATGTGGCTGAAATGCACAAGGGGATGTTGTTTAAATTACCATAAAACGGTAAAACACATTCATGATCTATTTATTTACCAAAACTTTGTACAAAACTTTGTTGACATGGTCGCTAAATCTAGGTGATCTCCAAACTTTTTTCTACACCAGTTTGTGCGCTACTGAAGGTTTTGTGGCTGCATTTTCATATTCATCTCAAGCTTTTTAAGTGGTAATACAAGAGACATGGCACAGCAAAGGCTTAGTACTCACACAGCCTCAATCACCACTGCTACTCCTGCAGTCTCCAACGCCTCAGAGATGGCGGAAGCTATCTGTTTGGTTAGATGCTCCTGAACTATGGAGAAAGTTACACATGTCACACAAGAATATAAAGAAATGAAAAGATGGAAAAACTAAAAATGAGAGTATGACAATTTTGTTTTTTACCTTGAAGCCTCCTGCTGTAGATCTCAACAATTCTGAAATTACCATATACAAAAATGAAGAGAATGAAACTGTTTTCTTTCAGTGTGTGTTTGTCTGTAGTATTGTTTTTTTTATTCATTTACCTTGTGAGCTTGCTGAGACCAACCACTTTCTTGTTTGGGAAGTATGGTATGTGAGCCTGGAATAAATTATATATATATGTGTGTGTGTGTGTGTGTGTGTATGTATGTATGTATGTATGTATGTATGTATGTATATATATGTATATGAAGGTTGTTTATCAAAAATGTGAACGTATAAAACGTTCGACTACACAAAAGGCAGTGTTGTGCATGATTTTGGTGAGCAGTAAACTGAGCCTATCAGTTTTTGAACATGAACTCATTTTCTGTTGAGTTTATAAATATAAAATTATTTTTAAAAATAGCAGATTTAAGTACACATTATGAAGAAAGGTAGCACAAGGAAACCATGCCGACTTTCTGTGCCGAGTTGTTACATTGGTGCACTGCTGAAGAGTGTCTGCATGTAATTGTGATAAATGAAAGTTGTACATATTCAACAGTTACATTTGTACCTGAGTGAGAGGTTTATCTGCTCTGCTGGACAGACTAGAC